ACACTAAATATCCCCAAAATATCTATTCCCACACACAGTTGGGGGTGGTGGACACATGACGGTGAATATACCATGACACTTCATCAAGCCTACTTGCTAGCCAGGAGAAAGGTGACAAAATAAGGAAGCAACATCTGAATTAATGAGACAGTGGGTCCTGGTTGGCTTTCTGTCGCTGTGATAAACACCATGACCAAAGCCACTTCAAGAAGGAAAGTCTTAGTTGACTTATACTTCCCAGGTCACAACCCATCAGAGAGTGGAGTCAGGGCAGGAACTCCTGCGGGAGCAGACACAGGAACTGGAGAAGAATGCTGCTGACTGGCTCGCTAGCCTGGCTTGCTCAGCTTACCTTTCTTATCCAGCTCAAGCCTACCGGCCCAGGGGTGGTACCCATGGTGGGCTGGGCCCTCCTCCATCAACTAGCAACTAGGAAAACGTTCACAGACATGCTCACAGGCCAGTCTGATGGAGGCAGAGTTTCAGCTGAGGTTCCCCCTTTTCAGGCATGTCAGGTAGACAACCAGGACAGCCATGGCATGGCTATCATGGAAATACTAAGCATAAGGGAGAGAGAGAACATGAGTGAGGGCCTGGTGCTGTCCTGTGGGGATGGCCAGAGAAGATGGCCTCTTCACTAAGAAAACATTTGAGCAGAGACTTAAGGAAAGGACAACATTATGTTTTTAAAAGTCTCTCTGAAAAAAAGATCTGTGCCACTTAATTAGGAAAATAAATTTTATATCTAGAACAATAGTTTTTTTTTCAGTAGAACATTGTTCTAGGTTGGGCTGGAGAGAGAGATTAACAGTGACGCATGTGTACTGCTCTTGCGGAGGACTCAAGTCACGTTCCCAGCACCCACATCGGGTGACTCACAACTGCCTGCACCTGCTCCAGGGGAAGCCTGGACCTGCTCCTGAAGTCACCTGCACTCATGTGCACACACACACACACACACACACACACACACACACACACACACACACACACACACGTTCAAATCGATACATAAACTACAGAATAGAAGACTAGAAGACCCCAGGCCTTAAGCAGTGTTTTGAATCTGCTAACAGACCGGCAAGCAAAACAGCATGGAAGCGTAGTTGGGAAGACAGGCTTTTCACTGGCCAGATTCGGGTTCTCACTCCTAATGACCACAGACGAAATTAAGATTTTTCTCACGAGCTTTGTGATCTTCACAGACTTGTTTACCTGACAAGCCGAGCAGCGTCCCTGGAACTCAGATGTTCTCCTGGGCGTGGGTGGGATGTGTGCAGCCCTCGTAAGTCTTGTGAGTCTGATGCAGGAGTCCTTCTTTACACGGCAGTGTTCAGCATCTATCAACAGTAATGCTGTCTGAGTCACAGACAATGCAAGATTTGAAGAGGGAAAGAGAAAAACTTGTTTCTGATCTGTCGCATATCGTATTTGGGATTGGAATATTTGAGTAATGGAGAAACCACAGTTATGATGACATGAGAATCAGAAGAGAGACAGGACAGAGCCCTTGATTTTTAGGGCAGAGATCCTGGCACCCTGTCCTATGGCCTTTGACTTCTCCAGCATGCTGTGCAGGCTACATGCAATGAAAGGTCTTTGACTCATCCAGGCAGGCTGTGTGTGTGTGTGTGTGTGTGTGTGTGTGTGTGTGTGTGTGTGTCTGTCTGTCTGTCTGTCTGTGTGTCTGTGTGTCTCTGTGTATGTATACGTGTGTTTCTGTGCTGTGTGTCTCTTTGTATGTGTATGCATGTGTTGTGTGTGTGTCTCTGTGTGTGTTCGTACATGCACAAACATTGGAGTCAGGCAGAGGGGTGGGGAATGGGAAGCAAGTGGAACTTACTCCAGCAAACACTCCCAGCCCTACCCTCCTCCTGCAGGCCACGTGTCCTCCCTGTACAGAGGGGTTACAGGAAGCACGGAGGGAAATAAACACCCAAAGCATTGCCTCCCCACCCACCCCAGGGACTCATATGGACAGTCATTCTTCAAGATGTGTGCAGTGGTCTGGGGGGGGGGGATGCTGTCACCACTTCCTGGAGGCAAGGCCTGGTGACAGCCCCTTGTCATGGCCCTCAGCTATTGTGACTTACCCTTTAGTCATGCCTGCAGGTTAAGGGGCATGTCTGAGATTCTCTTTCTGGAACACTACTGATTCCAAGCCGCCACCCATGCGTTCCAAACACACTCCTGTTCCAAAGCACTGTGCCATCCCCAACTCTGCCCCCTTGAGTAGCAGAGGAGAACTTTACCTTGATCATTGCTGTTTGTTGGAGAACATCCTTTTGGGTTGCTTTTAGAGAAAAAGACTTCAAAGGAAGGCCACCTGGACAGAGATTTCCAGGAGCAAACACTCTGCTGCTTTTCTTTCTTTTCCTGGTGCCTTGTTTACATGCCCCTTTCCCCTCTTTGAGACTGCTACTTACCACAGCATGCTCTGTGGTTCCCGGCCATCTTCATCCATATTCTGGGAGCCACAGAGGTGAGATACCCTCTCCAATACCCAGGATGAGCTTGTATGATCATCATCTATTTCAGCCTCTTCTGTGAATCGCTGAGCATCATTCACACCAGTTATTAAACTAATTCAAGGTGGAGGTTTGTGCATGCCTCAAAAGGACTGGAGTGGAACCTGTAACCGAACAGTCCTGCTAATAGCATTGAGAGAAAGAAAATACAAAGTAGAAATGATAAAACCTTGACAAGAATGTACAGTGAATCTGGAATTGGTTCTTTTATCCGTACAGCAACTGTGCCCATAAGCTTGGTGTGTCTTAGTTTTATAGTGGTGTAAAATTAAAAATAATCGTGTGATTTCTACGGTTTGGTACCCAGATGGACTGTATATTGCTGAAGGAGTGTAACCTCTGGCTTCTTACACAGTAGTGGTGCTATGTTAGGCCATGTTAGGACACATTCTGGGATTCATGACTGTTCCATTTGATTAGTGACATGATGAAGCATAAAATATTCATTTATAGCTATATTATTACCTTTCTTTTCAAAAAATAGTGTCATGGCATCTACAAATTAATCAAATATGAAGTATGTTGTGTCGATACTATTTTTAATATTAGCATGCACATCCATGATCTAAAAGTTTTCAGAATCATTTACAAACCTCTTATTCACTGGGTATTCCCTTGGCCCTTGGCTTCTGCCAGAATTATCCTAAAAAATGATTCATATTAAAATATCGTAATTCCTACGCAATCATTCTGAAGTCTACCCATGTACACACATACATGGACACAGATACACACATGTGCATATGCTTATGTTCACACACACACACACACACACACACACACACACACACACACGCTCATTCTTATCATACCAGTATGCTATCTTGGCTATGACAGTCCAACAATGATGCAAACCATTAGATCCTTACTTAGAAGAATCTGCTTATATTTTTATTTTAGATTTCTTAGAATTTATTTTAACTATATGTATATGTGTAAGGTGTGGATGTATGGACATAAATGTGCAGGTGCCCATAGGGGACAGATATATATAGAATCTGGAGCTGGAGTCACAGGCAGTTGTGAGCCCTCCTTCACGGCTGCTGGGAACCCAGATCCTCTGCAAGAACAGTTGGTGCTCTTCCCTACTGAACCAGATCTTCAGCCCATGCTTACATTTTCTTTTTAACTTATTGCATTTACTGGGTAGTTCTTGCAGCTCCCAAGACTGAACTATTACACTCTGATGGCCAGCCTGACTTTAGCCAGAAGGGAAGAGCTACACACTGGTTTCCAAACCCAGCTTTAAAAGGCCCTTCCTTTCAAATATTCTTTTCTTTCTCTTTCTGGCATCATGGCTGTAGTAGTGGTGATTATAGGCACATCCTGTCTTCAAATGTGGGAGACATACAGTTCAAGTCTAAGGATACTATCCATCACCTTTCACATGTGAATATTCTCATACACACGTATTCAAAGTATGAAAACATATTTTTGTACTGTCTGGCTTTTATATTGGCCTAAGTTTTTATTGCATTACTTGCTGTTTTGTGCCTATGGTTCAATATTTTGTTTATTTTTAATTTGTGTAAAATTGTTGAATATTTATGAGGGTACCATACAATGCTTTGATAGATATATAGATAACATTTTGCAATGTTCAATTCAGGGTAAACACAGCTGTCTCCTTAAATGATGATCACTTCTTGGTGATGAAAATATGCATAAGTTCTTTCCCACATCATCATCATCATCATCATCATCATCATCATCATTCTCATTGTCATCAAACACCAGAAACTCTATTGCTTGTCTCTCATTTGTCTGCCTCCCTCATTCTCCTCGAGCAATAATAACCACCCTTCTTTTCTCAGTTTCTTTGAGCTCAATAATAAAATCTAGATGACATGTAAGTGATGTTGTGTTGTATTTGTCTTTCTGTAACTCAATTATTTTACTTAACACAGTGACCTGTTCCATCTCATTTCAGTTTTAATATTATTGTCCTCAACTTGAAGATAATGTATAATAACTACATCACATATTTAAATATTACAAGAATGGGAAAACAATGGACATAAACAATGACAGAACAAGATTAGGAATATTCTGCTGTACTGGAACAATAAGCCCTACACCCACATGACAAAATAAATTAGAAAAAAAATGAAGCACCCCAGAGCCATCAGTAGGCTGCTTCAAACATTCAAGTCTTCTGATAATTTGAAGCCAGGAGGAGCTTAACCTTGCAAGGGTTTATTCATGGGAACTGATAAGGAATTGAGAAGGGTATGAGAACCATCTAATCACGACACAAATCTGAACCTTAGATAAAGAGAAGAAAGGAAAAGTTGGAAAGAGCATTATTGACTTCCATGCACAGCCTCAGGGGTGCCAGTGGGGACCAGGGGCAAGAGTTCCCAGGCTCTCAGGGACTGACTCCTTTACAAGGCTGCAGTGTTCCGTGACTGGCTAGCAGTGACCCACAGACCTCACCCCACCTGCGCGTGTGGCCGGGCCCAGGGCCAGTTGGTCCGTGCATTGGTTCCTCTTCTCCTTGCTGTAGCCAAGTGCCTGACAGAAGCAGCTGCAGGTCGAAGAGGCTGATTTGGGCTCATGGTTGGGGGCTGAGTCCATCGTGGCAGTGAAGGCAAGTCAGCTGAGGCACCTAGACGCGTGGTGACAGAGACTTGCAGCATGGCTTGCTTTCATATTAGCAGAGCAAGGAGCAGGGAGATCAGAGCCGGAAGCTGAGTAAGGACTCAGCCTCCGGAGACTGAAGTCCAGGGACCCATGCCTGCCAGCCAGGCCTCACAGCCTCCCCAAACAGGGCCAGAATCTGGGGATCAAGTATGCATGAGCCCAGGGAGACACCTCGGAATCAACCCGCTGCCTACAGGGAACATTCGTGAGAAAGGACTATGTACTTTGGCTGTTCAAAACTCCACTCTAGTTTTACTAGGAAAAGGTTTTATAAATGAGTAATTCAAAACAAGTAAATCTGAGAGTTTAGAAATGCAATTTTGTCTTAGTATGTTCTGCACAAGTTAATGTATAGATATCACCATACCCACGGGGGATGGTATTTGGCACTGGGAAACTTGAGATTAGCTGGTGATTAGGTCATAGTGCCAGGGTCCTCACGAATGAGATTAGTGGCCTTATAAACAGTGTACACGGACAGACTTGGCTTCTTCCACCACTGAGGTTAGAGCAGAGATCCTCAACCTATAGGTCGCGACCCCCAGTGGTCACATACCAGATAGCCTGTATATCAGATATTTACATCACAATTCACAGCAGTAGCAAAATTACAGTTATGAAGTAGCATTGAAAATAATTTTATGGTTTGGGGTCACCACAGCATGAGGAACTGTATTAAAGGGTCGCAGCATCAGGAAGGTTGAGAACCACTGGGTTAGAGGAACAGGAAGGCAGTCTCTGGGTTGTGGGCTCTTCCCTGGCACCACATCCACCATCCCAGCCTCCAGACTAGGAGACATTTTTTCAAAGCGTATCAGCTACTGTGGCTTATATATTTTGTTGTGAAACCCCAAACGATTGTTAGGGGGTGCATCTCAAATCCCATATTTGACCTTGATCCCCTTATCTTTTATTTCTCGGAAAGTTACGTCTCTGTCCGTCTCTACTACCCCTCACTTCACAGTTGAAATCTATGAGGATTCTGAAAGCATATTCTTCTTGCAAGTTAACGAAGTTGCTACAGCCGTAAGGATATGGATAAAAGGCACACTTGGCCGACGAGGTCAGAGATAATGAACTTCGTTCACGTGGTGATAGCGAGGCAGCTGAGTGTCCATCTCCACTCTCTCCAGAGCTCCTGTCGGCACGGCCAAGGCCTGCTGCGGTACAAGGAGAGCCTAAAGTTTTATAACGGGCGGTAAGCACGCCTGCCCCGTGCTTCTGATCGAGAGACGGGTTTTCTCTGAACACTGCTTGTTACAAACATCTTTTGGCGGGGAAGAAACGGTCCAGTGACGAATGTTGTCAGTGTGCGCTTTCAAACCAGGCAGAAATGTGAACATTAGTGAGTCATCCCTCGACACTGACCGCTCCCCCACTGCTCTTGCTGGGTGTCATGGAGTTTCCGCTCTGCCTGCTCATCCTCAACAGAAGACGCAAGGAGACCCTGGGTAGACCTCTGCAGCCTCTTGTTTATGGGGCTCTGTAGCCTCTGACTTCCTGGTCCATACACAGCAGTCATTTCTGCTTCCTGAGTTTTTAATCTCTGTCTTCTCTGTTCAGCGTCATGTGTACTTCTGCAGGAACCACCTGTTCCGCATGTCTCAATTCAGACCAGGCTCCAGGACGGAAAGCCGCGGCTGCGGCGATTACAGGCCTCACCTGATCCATTTCTCCCCCCCCCCTCTCCTCTTCTCTTCTCTTCTCTTCTCTTCTCTCTCTCTCTCTCTCTCTCTCTCTCTCTCTCTCTCTCTCTCTCTCTCTCTCTCTCTCCTTTTGAATTTCTAAAACCTCTATTTTATAATTTGGGTCCAACTATTTACAATTATTACAATGCAAGTACCAATTACCCAGTTACCAGCTCTACTCCAATAGGGCAGAAGCAGGTATCTTTTGTTTGTTTGTCTTCCAGTAACTCCTGGAACAGTTATCCTAATTATTCGTCTTTAAACTGTAGAGACTCAGAAACTAACTTTAGTTTCATACCTAAGGCGGGACAGAATGACCTGACAGCGGCCCCGAGACCAAAGGCACTCTTCTCCTTTCGTTTTGTGCTTCCAAGGAGCAGAAACCACGGCCCTAGGCTCCGAGGGAGGCTGATGGAGCCAGTCTGCAGCAGGGAGGCCGGAAGGTGAAGGGAGCATCGTTAGAAGAAGACTTAAAGAAAGCATGGCCCACCAGCAAAACCCTTGGGAAGTGCCTGGTTGTTACCAAAATGCTTCCTCTGCTTCAAAGTAGGTGTTGTAGGCTTAAAACAAGGTCATCATTAACCCCCATTATCCCCTGGGAATTGGTCCCCAGACCCCTATGGATACCAGTCTACAGATGGCCAAGTCCCTTAAATAATACACGGGGTACTTGCATATACCCACGCAAAATCCTCCTGAGTATTTCATATCATCTCTATATTATGTATAATATACAGTCTAAAGCAAATCATGTCAGTAGCTATGTGCCAATTCGTGTAGGAATTTTTTTTTTCAAGCATTTTCAATCCTGGCTTGTTTGAATCTATGAATGAAAGGAATGTAATTTCCCTCAGATCAGAGCTTCCGTCTTCTACTGGGGAATGGGAACAATTCATCCGGGCCTGACTTCTGTATTTCTACCTCTTCCGTAATCAATCTTTCTTATAGAAAATGGCTTTCAGACCATTTTCCTGGGCTCAGTGCAACTCCACCGTCCAGAAAACACAGGCTACAGGACAGGCTTCGAGCAGGGGAGGAGGGGTTCCCACTGCGAGCCCTCGTGTGTTTTAACAATGACTTGGGGGCTGACTGAGCGCCGGGGACAGTCGAGAGACTCTCACTCATTTTGGCAAATCTTTCCTAAGACGAAGCAAACACTAGGACAGTAGGGGTGCCCTGGCTCATCCCTGTCCTCCTCACAGGTGGTATCTGTCTCATTATCTTTCCATTTCCACTGTGATAATTATATATTAAGTACTTTGGTATTATGAAACCAATAAGTAGTGTTATAAATGAGTATATTCATTCAAAACAGATTCAAATTGCCTTAAAAATCTTTGTTACTTATTCGGTAAGTGACTGAAATTTTCAGATTATCCTAACTGTCCATTTCACCAGGATGTACGTTTTCCTGAAATAAGGTCTTACTATGTGCTTCCGGCTGGCCTTGACCTCCTGGTCCCACTCTCTCATCCACACAGAACTCACCCCTGGGTGAATTGTCTCCCGTGTTTATGACAGGGAAGCACAGAGCAATGTCAGGTAGACCTGGGTCAGGATATTCAATCCAAGTTGCACAATATCCTGTTTTGTAAAATGAAGTTAATAACGCTATGACACACAGTGACTGAATTTGTCTTAAGCCTCCTTGAGAGTCTGGCACAGAGTGGGTGTTTAATGTCACTTGACATTGTAACTGTGATGACTATTGTATTGCGAGTTTGTTAGTATTCTCAGTTATATAGAATTTTAGTTGGCAAGACCTTCTCAAAAACATAATCTCAGCTGAGTTCCTTCACAGGCTTCCAAGCAGGCAGACGTTTTCTTCCCACTTGGTGAGGGTAATTAGAGGTTGAGAGCTTTACCGAGTCATCCAAGAACCATCAGGAAGAAGAAAGAAGCTGTCTCCAGATTGGATAACCTGTGCTCTGCCCACTGTACCATACTGCCACTGGAATGGCCTTCCCCCATTTTCAGAAATGCCAAGAATCCCTCTCTCCATCTTCGGACTGGGTAAGCTAACCTGGGCTTTACAACGCCCCTGCTTCCTGGAGATGCACTGCACCAGGGCTGCCCCTTTTCCCAGCACATGCAGCTTGTCTGAGCATTGGCAAATCAGTTCTTCGGGCAACTCTTCTCCGAGCTCAAGTGCCAACATTTGCGGTTTACCCCTGCAAAGCCAGGCCAGCCTTTGCATTTAGAACTCAACAAACGTGTCTTTGTTCCAGTGGATCTCCACAGGAGCCAGAAGCCTTTCCCATATTGTACCTTACAAGTAAGAGACAAAGGGCTTTGGAATAATTAAACAGAGCACAGTTTCTACATTCCATCTCCTCGGGACTCTAGCCCACAGTCTTAATGCCAGTAAATGGAAGACAGTTGAGAGCCCACATGAGGCTTAGAAGATTAGATACTTAATCTGTACTCAAGAAAGCATTCCTGCCAATGCATATGTGGTGGTGGTATGAATCAGTTCTCTTCTTAATTAGCTGCAGTATGGATATGTGGTTAAATAAATGTAAAACTCTCTGATGGCATTCATTCACCTCATCAGACTACACAGAACACAGCCAAATGACTATGGCATCCTGCAATGCAAATGAGGTGCAAGCCCATTCGGTGGGCTGTTTGGCTTGCAAGCAAATATCTGGCATATGAGTTTCTTAGTAAAAATAAGAATCAAACTACTGACCTGTAGACGTGTCTATATGATACGGAGCCATTTGACGTCTCCGTCCACTTCTCCACCTACACAGCAAAGGAATTTAGGAAAGAATTTACACAGAAGAACCAAGTCTCTGCTGTCTGTCCACATTTGCAAGAACTGGCCTACTCTTAAGACCACGGCCCTGCGCAAGCTGCTAAGCAATAATACCCCGATGGTTCAACTCTGAGCGTTTTTTAGGAGGTGCTCGTTTTTACCATCAGCTGGGTTCCTTCCAGAGAATTCTGAGCATTCAGGACTCTTCTTCAGCCCCTCGCCAGGAAGAGTCTACCATCTGGTATGCAGAGTGTGGTCTCTGTGAAGACAGAGGCCACTGGCAGTCTCTGAAGGGTTCCATGGAGCTTTCGGGCCAGCACAGGCTAGAGGCGTCAGAAGGGTGCGAAGCACAGCCACTTCCCTGCCGCTTCCCGTCCTGAGGATCTTTCCCAGAGATTCCCAGTCCATCTTTGTGGTCCGCAAAGAGCTGTTAGTAGCTGCCCCCACCACACCTGTAGTGGGCTTCCCAAGTGTATAAAGGTTTAAAACATTTCCAAATTGTGTGTCAAGCCAACACGCACTTTGCTTGCCCTTGGCTTCGGTGCTGTGTCCTCTGGCCACTTCTCTCGCCACTCTGACTCTCGCCGTCATTTACAAGAATGTTTTTGCTTATAAAACAGAATACCCTGAATTGACTTGAAAAGTAAATTGCACAAATGCCAATCGGCAATGATTTCGGTAAATACAGTAACCGCTAAGCGAACAACCTCACGATGCCTGACATGCTTATCGTTGAGGATTTGAAGTTGCAGCTTTTACTTAGCTAATAGTCAGTGTTGTTTGCTCTGCCTTTTCCTTACCCAGAGCACACAATAAAAATATCATACTTTATCTAGATAGTGTTCTGTTTCTTAAGACAATCGTTTATTTTAATATAAGACGTACCAATTTTCTGAATAATTTCATGAAGACTTCTTATATTTTAATTATAATACAGACTGATGCTTTCTAGTCACCGAGAAGGGGAAAGTCTTTCTGCCTCACAAACTTACACACACACACACACACACACACACACACACACACACACACACACTCGGAGTAAGCTACATGGTGGTTAAGAGCATCCAAGTTCTGCCTGCCTGATTAGTGTCCTGGAAATGACATACGGAAGCAGCAGCTGATGTACGGACATCCTCGTGAGAACGCTACATTCAACCCCACCTAGAAATAGGAGCACAGCGGTTTCTCTAATGTTGTTTTCCTTCTGGCTTAATGTTCAATATGAAGAGGACTTTGCTTCTTAGCTGGAGATGGGCCTGCAATTCTTTCAGCTGCCAGAGCTAAAACCTGGAGGCTTAAGACTCTATCATTCTCCAGAGGAGGTGGAGTGGAAGCTTCCATTTCCCTGGGTCAGGGTTAGCAATTCTTATCCATGTGCGTAGAATCCCTAACACATGCAAATGCGTACTTTGAGTTACACTTCCAATGATCTTGACAGATGTGCACTGATTCATTTTTATGCCCTTGTTTCTGATCTGCAATGAGTTATGAATTAATAAAGAGGTAAGAAATACAGTTTCCCAAGAACTGAGCTTATGCTTCAAAAAGCCATAGTGCAGCACTCCGGGGTCCCTGACAGCTTGTTCTGACTGAGTCAGGTGGCCAAGGGCCTTGGGAAGCAAAACTCAAGTTCTCCAGAAAACTTGGGGTCAATGAGTACATCTTACAGATTGACGCTGTCATTCTTTGATGATAACGATGGTGTCATGTGACTTTTCCTTGGGGGAATTATGAACAAATATCTGTTTCCCCCAAGGCAAACCAAAGAAATGATCCCACACACATTTAGATTGGTGAACCAGAGAGCGAGCTCTCCCCAGCAACTGTTATTGTTTCTATGACCTTAGGGTGGGACCAAAAGTCTCCGAACTTCCTCTGCTTCCTAGTCCTCCGGCAAGTTTTCCAGCTTCCTTGATCTGACAAGGCTGCCTATTCCCTTGAGGAGAGGCGTTTCAATTCAGAGGAAACAGCCACACAACATCTGGGAAGCAGTCACATTCTGAGGACACCTTTCAGTTCTGACCTTAGGAGTAAATTTAAGTATAGGAGTTACGATGTTCACAAAAGTATCAAGCTACTGTTAACAGTAGCTCCCATAACACTCTTCCTAATGACATGAAGACAGACTTGCATGTTATTCAGTTCTCTGGGCATCTTGTCTTTTCCAGTCCTATGGTTCTAGTCCTTCTGTGTAAAATCTCACGAAATGTCTGCTGTTGAATTTGACTTCCACATCTCTGTTTTATCTTTATGAGGAATAAGGGAGGCTCTCTCTTTTGCTCCAATTTCTTCAATTTCTATTTTAAAATCGTGTTAGGAAGTAAGTCAGACCAATTAAGGTAGCACTCAAGAGTTTTGTGAGTCTTACAGACTGAAGAACGTACTGAGATAAAAACAACAACAAAAACAAACAAACAAACTTAGAGGACTATTTTGCTTCCAAAGTACTAAAGCCAGACTCTTGTGCTTAAAGACAATGAATGAAGACAATTAACTGTGACTAATACAGTCGATTCATCTTAATTGCAACTGAGATAGTTATTAAAGTAAATAATCACATGCTACAAATTCAGTGGCAGTAAATTCTATATTGTATTAATGATGTGTAATTAAATATGCACATACAATTTGACTATTAGAGAACAACTCATTTCTCAAGTGACCTCACTGAATATATTCTTTTTAGGTTCTCTATGGTGGGGGAAATAGTTGAAACCCCCTTTTATTATAGTCTTATAGCCAAAGTCAGCAAATAAAACAGAACCGGGGAGATACAGTGGTTAGAAGTCCTGGTTTGGCCTTCTCCCTGTCACCGTCACACGAACACTTGCCAACCCTCTCTGCAACATCCCACCATCACACTCTCACGAGACTGGGAAAAACTCTCTCCCCTCTCTCTAGTGTTTAATCACGTGGTTTACTCTTCGTTAGCAACCAGCTGCAAATGCTGCGTGGCTCAGGCGCCTTTGAAGGGTTAGCGTGATGTGCAAAACCAGAAGCTGTGTGGTCCCACCGGCCACTGCAGAAACATGACACATGTTCCTATCTGCCATAGGCTACTGATGTGAGGATTGATCTCTGACTCAAGGGCAGATCTCAGCCTGCCAGGCTGCAGGGCAGAGTACCAAGTAGGTTATTTCAGGTCCATGTGCTTGGGCAAGTCAGGGTAGGGTGTGTCCACAAAGGGTATTAACAATTCAGGGCAGTGCATTGTTAGTGACTTCCAAGGCCCTGTTCAAGTGGAGAGGATGCAGATGCTATGAGGTTCTTAAAAAAGATATAACTTAGCTGAGCTCCACCAACAGGCAGAGTTTAAATTTAACTAACCCAGGAGGAAAGCAGAAATCTCACCAACTCTCTCTGGATCTTCAAACAGCTTTCGTCATTGGGGCAGTTCATCCTGGGCCCATCTCTGTAGGACTTAAGTAATGATCCAGCAGCTCAGAGGTCTTGTATATCTGCAGACCTTCTGCAGGGCACAGCCCTGTGGTCACACCCACCCTACAGCCGCACAGCACTGACCCTACCCCTGCAGACCTGCGCCAACACCAGGCCTCTGTTGCCAGGAGAAAGCAAGCTGCCCAGGATGGCTTCTTCCAGGCTGCTGGGAGGTCCCTCACCACCCAGCTTCAGGCTTAGTTTCTAGCGCTGGTTCTTTGACGGACATCATACAGTCTCTGAGGCTTCCTGAACCCTGGTTTCCAGTTCTAGAAGACTCTGATCATCTCTTCCCAATTAAAGGGATTAAAGATTCGCTGCCGCATTCTTCAGTTTATGAAAAGGCACCTGTAGCCTCTCACACACGTCCTTTTTCCTTTCCTAGCCCCACAGTCCGGCACACACTTGCGTGTGCCAAGTCCACTTGAACACAGAGCAGAGAGGAGCAGGGGGCTCATCCTCTACGATGGTCCTTGAAACCAACCACCATGGTTTTTCCCCTCATTGTTTTGCTTTGTTTGCTATTCTTCTCTTTGATTTTTAATCCCAGCACCCAGGACAGGGCCTAGCGAGGGAGCACAGTGGCTGCTTCTGTTGTCCACAAACCCCAAATGAAACACAACCACTCCAGTCAGTTCCCGCTGAGATTCCCAACTGCTGAGATCAAGACATCTGCTGCCAAGTGCCTCCACCCATGCCCCAACTCCAGACCAAGATACCAGCAGGCCCGTGTGTTGGCACAGGAGGTGGGTTTACCGTTGTCTCTGACTGAGCTACCCATTCAGGTCTTCGAGACCTGAAATTCTCTCCCCCATGTTTCGTAACCTGCTGGTGAGGCTGGTCACCGATGCCTTTATTTCACATCCTAAGGTTTTCCTTTCCAGTTGTATTTCAGTTTGGATTTTCCTTAGAGAACCTATTTCTACTTTTATGCCTTGAATGTTTTCCCAGTCTTCATGAAGGTATTTGTTCATCTCCTCTTTAAGGTCTTTAAACATATTCACAGTTGTTATTTGGAAGCCTTTGTCTTGTGGGGTTAAACTGCATCTCTCAGGGCTATTGCAAGAAGACTACACTGACTTCTGGAGGAGGCATACTGTCTTGGCTGGTCGTATTTGTGCGTTTGTGCTGGGATCTAGGTATCTGGCGTTATGGTGTTTGAGGTGTTTCTTGGTGTGGACATCTGGTCTTGTCTTTGTTGGGTGGGAGTTCTATTCTTTGGTTCCTGCTGCCCACGCTGGATGCTAGGCAAGTGTAGTGGCTGTGGGGTCCCTGGTAGGCAGGTAATGCAATGGATATGGGCTAGAGAGAGAGACTGAGAGGGGGAGTGGGGGAGAGAGCTAGGGAGGCCAGGTCACACCAAGAGGTGGAGTCCCCAAGAAGCAGAGGGAGGGAGGGAGAGAGGGGAGGAGGGAGGGGAGGAGGGAGGGAAGGAGGGCTTCTATAGGCAGGCTGCTTCTGGACTAAGAGTAAGTCTGGAGAGACCAGAATGAGAGCTAGGGGGACCCGGGGTCATACCTGCATGGAGAGTCTCCAGGGAATAGAA